TAAAATCTACCCAGTGTCCTTCCCCTCCCTTAGTCAAAGTAGAACCTTTTTTTAGGGGTCTTCTTATATCCATCTTTACCCTAACCCTCAAGTAAGAACTCCATTTTTCTTTAAAGTGGCTTTCATCAAATTTAATGAATTCCCCTATATAGTTACCCACCCTCCTAGCGGTATCAACATTCATAAACATATACGGTACATTGTGCACTTGCACCCAGAACTCTGCTTCGAACAAGTCCATTTTATGCGGTATATCATTAGGGCCAACTGCCTTTAGCATTAACAAATTCCGCTCAAATAACCAAGGACCATCCTCTATAACACGATTCATATCAATTTTGTGATTAAAAGTGAAAAGATACCTCTTTTCATCAATTTCTTGAACCGCCATTCCTCTCCCTGGCCTCCAGAGCGATATAAACAGTTCCTGAACTGACTGAAATCTGACTTTCCGGTCGGTGAGGATGACTCCCACCACCGGAAAATCTGCCGCCTTTGCCTTTGGAATGGTATTCTCTTCCTCCTCATCATCAAAATTCAGTCTACTGTTTTCTTTCTCCAAAGCCAAGCGTCTATACTGCTCTACCACATCCTCCATATTTGAAAAACTCGTCTGCCGAGATGTCCCCTCCGAAGCCGTAGCAGTTAGCAAACGTCTTCCCTACAACCCACGAACCTGCCGATTGCAGTAGACCCAAAACACCTAATCGCCCTGCCTTTGTTCTGAAGCAATCCAAAGCCAAGGCTGAGAACGAGAAGGGAAAAACGAACTACACTAAGGCGGCCGGCGGAAGCCACCGAACCCTAGAGAGCATTACCCGCTTTGCTAGTTTTTTTAGTACGGAGTATTTAGAAACGAGTCTACTTATAATTTTATTTTTGACTTTACCACTGCAATTATTTTGGGTCTATTCATTCGAGAGGCAAAGACAAATGGTGAGGTACCTAACTGTACCTTGGCCTTTGTTTTGCTTCCGCCGAATTGGTATAAACGTATCCAATTATCCATTATAAATTATTTAACTTATCATCACCTTTACTCCCAAATCACAATTCTTGTTTTTGGTCATTTCCAAATTCCATGGTTGATTAAATTTATTTGTTTCAAGTGCTGCTAAACCAAAAGGCAGCAGGGCTCTACAGATTTAACATTATACAACAACCACGGAGTAACAAATTATTATTTGTATTATTAATAATAATCCTAGTATTATTTTTATTGTTGTTGTTATTATGTTTTTTAAAACAAGCTAGAAACATCTCTTATGTTTTGTTGTACGTGCATTTGACTGAGGAAATTAATAGAGTAGAATCCTTGAAACAAAAGGAAATCTTTACAAACTAGAGTAAACTAGAACATTGTAAAAACTGCATCCACAATGAATCAATGATATTTAGTATTTACAATAATAAAATTGAAAACAAGTAAAAAAATAATGGAACACAGAAGTAAGTAACTGGCCGCTAGACTACAAAACTTTTACGAAAATTGCAAAAAATCGAGATAATCCAAAATAAGGGTATTATGTTCTTTTTTGTAAGCAGGAATCATACTATCAAACTCCAAAAGTACTTTCAACTATAGATCGAAAAGAAATTAAATATTGGAACAATCGTAATAGGATGAAATAAGTACTACGTATTATTTTAGACTACTTCATTGTCAAGGGCGGATGTACTCTCATGTTAATGGGGCACTTGCCCCCAATAACTTAGTGTTTTCATTAAGTAATACATTAGTTATATATCTTAGAAAACTATTTGCCCCATTAAATATTTCAAGGTGCCCCCAATAAAAAATTGAACTTCCTCAAATAATGATAGTTTAGGTCACTAAATTGACTATATACGTAGTATATAACTATAAAAATGTATAATTTGCTTGAAGGAAATTTAATTAAGGCATATCAAGTAATATAAATTATGAGAAAATAAAAAATGATTTCAATATAATTGAATCTAGATGAGATAAATTTAATTCAATATTCAAAAATATGAACATTCGTTGGATACCTGAATGTAACTTTGTCAATATCAAATACTCCGTACACAAAAACTGATTTCAAACAATATCCAAGATAAAATTAGTTTAATCATAAAAAAGAAGTAAAGTAATTTCTAAAAATTCTATAGAAATGAATGAATTTTATTTGGGTTTTTTTACATAGATATTACCAAAATAAAACTCATTTACATAAATACGACTAATAGTTACTACAATGTATTGTCATAATAACTTAAGTTTAAGAATTGAACATAAATTACTATGATTTCATTACTACTCTATTCACTAGTCACATTTTTGTAAACAATCTTAATTTTAGTCTAAAATGTGTAGTCATTTCATTTTACTTTCATAGACAAATAATTAGATTACTCTTGACTAATGTTCTTTTTTCTTTGATATCATATATGAATTTTAACCCCTTTTTAATTGTGTAAAAGTAATGCTCACTACTAAGAATTTATTTGGTAACTTAAACTTGTTCTACATAATGACGATCGTTTTTAAAGTGTTTTTATTTGGACTGTTTTTCAGTCTCACATCAAGCCAGATCACACCAGATCAAATTAGATTTGAATAGTCATAAAATACACATATATAAAAAATTTACTATACCAGACGTCCAGACTAGACTAGAAAATTTCAGTCCAATTAAAACCATCCTTAATCCTTAATTCATTTAAAGAAAAAACAAAAAATACAGTTGAAATAGATATATTAATTGTGACATGTCGTTTGTTTGGATTTTTGCAATGCATAAGTTTATTAAAATTATTAAATTCTTACATTAAAATACCACTAGATATATAAAATCTATGTAATCACGAAATTGCTTATGCGCTAAATCATATACGTAATGAATTATAAGTTCGAATATTATGAGTTAGTGCCCCCAACACTGTTCATTTTTTTTACTTCTATCATGAAAATCTTCCCAAAAATTTAAAAAACAAAAATGAAACCACTATGGGTCGGGCATGCAATACATTTGTTTAAAAAATAGAATCATATAAATTCGTATGTGGACTTACTGCCCGTGTGGTAACACTCTAATTGAATGAATTGATTGATTTTGTTCAAATTTATTAAGTTCTGAATGAAGTGACTGGATTGACTGATTCTATTGATTTAAGAAATAATTATATTTAGAATATTTTTTATTAATAAAATAAAGAAAAAATTATATGAAAAATAGCTAAAATAATCATATACAGTAACATCAGACAATACAATCAAAATAGAACTTCAACCTTACTTATTTTTTAAAAAAAATTAACACGCGAAATCAAAAGTTACACCAATTTATTTAATCATGAGATGTACACTGAGCCCGTAAGCACGTTACAATCCAATGATGAAAAGAATCTCTATAGTACTTTTTGAATTATTATAATCATGATAGAATAACATTTTTCATTACAAACCGAGCAAATGCTTAAACAATACAAATATACTTGATTTTTAAAATTACTTTCACAGTTTCACGTGTATCACTAATTCATCACTTTACAGGGAGTAACATTTAGGGCATGTTTGGTAACAGCTGTAATGGCTGAAATGGCTGAAATGGCTGAAAAGACTGAAAAGACTGAATCTGGTGAAGTGAAAGTGTTTGGTTATATATTGGCTGAAATGGTTGATTGAATGTAAAATTACCATAAAGGATATGGGTATTAAATTGTTATATATGCTACTGCTTTCCTTAAAATTGTTGCTTAAAATTGCGATGCATCTCTTCTTCATCAAAACACACATCCATACTTCACCAGATTTCTTTTATTAAAATGACGTATATGATTTTTTTTGGGGTTTTTATGTTTTAAATTGATCTAATTTTTTAAAGCTCTTGGTTCTAGATTGCAGAAATTTGGCGAAATTTCTACAAGAGAAAAAAATCAAATCATACGAATGTCATTCGAGAGCCATTTGAGAGGAACAGAGACTAACAGAGACTATCAGGGCTTTAGAAGAAAATCTGAAATCGAGTTTTCCTCAGATACGAAGCCAAAGCAAGTGAGCAAGGCAGTCTTCCGCTGATCTCTGTATGGGGTAAAGGGTCTTTGCAATGATTAAAGGTAGAATAATAAATATCAGCCCAAAAAGTAAGGGAACACTTGCTTTTTCAGATGATAAGAAAAAGCAGCCCAAGTAGCAAATATCGTTGGTGTTTGGCTATTTTTTTGCCCTTTCAGGCTTTTCAGCCTATTCTTGGTGCTCCAAACAGCTCCTTAGGATGTTTAAACTTGGTCTTATATTTTCAAATTTGATATAATCTATTGAAATTTGATATTGAGTAGATTATGTTAGCGCTATCAATTTTTGATGATTTAGTCTAAATTGATCTAGTTTATGAAGATTTTAATATTACTTTCACTCCATATTTTTATTTTTTTTGTTTAGCACACAATCATTAATAGAGTGATAGAAGAATAAAATTTGTAACTGAAATTTGAGTAGAAGAAAATAAAATAAAAATCAAAGATTCTTGCCAAAAAGGAAAAGCGATATTCTTTTGAAACAATGCAAAAAGAAAGAAAAGTATGACAATTAAAATCAGTGCAATAGAAAAGTGCAATAAAAAAGGCCCCAATTAATCACCTTCACAAGTTTGGGCACCAATTGTCAAAATGGGATAAACAGCCTAAACTATTTTCCATTTTCTCCCTCTATTTTTTCTCCTCAGTTCTCAGTTCTCACCACCAGTCACAGCATCTTTTTTCCCGCCATTTTTTCTCTCTCTTCCAGCACACTGAGGCATTGTGGCTGAAAGGATCCCAGAGCCGAATTCTGTTTTTTTGTATCAAATCTAGGCACCAAACTGATAATTTTACCAGTTTACCCATTTAGGGCATGGCATACTTTTTTTGTGATTTTCAGTGGGCTTTACAGGCATGCTATTATCTGTAAACCTAGCATAGGACACTTGACAATTTCCCAAAAATGGGGAAAAATCCAAACAAAGTCTATGAAAGTCACATGAATTTACATTCAAGTCTGACCATTCACACTTTATCATTGACATTATTGGAAGTTATAAATAAATGGGTAATAATAACAAATTGTTTGGAATTAGAAGAAGAAGAAAATCAATCTCCCTAGCTGGCAACTCCCAATCACATTGAATAGAAAATTGAAATTCACAATACAAAATGTAGACTTTTAGTGGACATCCATTACTACTTACACAATACAAGGAAAAAGCCAAATGCAAGATGCATCACTTTCTCCAATGATACAATTTTTTTATACCAAAAAGAATAAGGTGATAAAAGAACAACTAGCCAATACATCAAATGATCATCAAAGTACAGTTAACTAATAATTCTGATTTTACTTCTTAAATAATATAATAATGGGTCACTCTCAAATTTGGCTCCCCCCAAGAACCAGTTATGCAAGCAGCTTTTTTTATAATATACTTAATGACACACACTTATTACCTTTAATATAAATAAATGTTGAGGTTGCCTTCGCCTATGGTGTGATGACGCCTAAGGAGTTGTTTGGCTTTCATGTCCTTTGGATGGATCAAGTGAGTCGCCTCTACTATTGATCTCCTCGATCATCCTCACAACTTCTGGAATGTCGGGTCTTTGGTCTGGCACCATAGACACACACGACATTCCTACCTGAAGTAGTTGAACCATGTCTTCTTCCACGTCGTTATGTGACCGCATAAGCTCCACATCAAAAACCTCTGCTGTCCATTCCTCGCGCACAACACTTTGAACCCATCTAGGCAAGTCAATGCCTTCTTCACCCAACGACGCCTGGTTTGGTGACTTTCCTGTCAGAAGCTCCAAGATCAATACTCCAAAGCTGTATACATCAGATTTGAAAGTGGCCTTTCGGGTTTCAAGCACCTCGGGTGCCCGATAGCCTGCAATCCTAGGTGTTGAGCCGGGGGAAAAGAGCTGGTTCAATCCGAAGTCTGAGAGGCATGCGGCATTGAGATGGGCATCTTGCTTGAGGAGGATGTTTGATGCCTTGATGTTACCGTGGACTACTTTGCCTGACACGTGTAAATATGCAATGCCTCTGGCTGCACTCAGCGCTATTTTCACTCGGCTATCCCAATCTAGGGGTGTGCGCCCAGACCCTCTGCTTCCTACAGATATTAACCCCTCTCAATTTTAGATACGATATTTGAACTTTGGAGTGTTCATGAGATAAATTTAGATAAGTAGATAACAATCATCATTTAGAGGAGGGTAGATTTTGTTTCATTAATTTATCCTTATTTGTTAAACTTAGACTAAAACTAACTACATATATATTTAATTTAATTATGTATTTTTGTATAGTGGTTCATCTTCATTTTATCTGATCCTAAATTCTTTTGAAAATAAGGCTTGGATGTTGTTGTTCATCTTCATTTTCTTTTCTATTTTGACCCTGTGTTGGACAAATCATTCACATCCCCTCACAAAGTTAGAGTTCCATCCTCAAAAGTCATTCTAATACATGGAGTGATCCAAAATGCTGTATGTAAATTTGTTATTTCATATATTTAGTAATTGCGAAATAAATCATTTGTTAGTAGTTAAAATAGAGTGCTTATAGACTAATACTCTTATCATATGTCCCAATTCAAAAATAAAAATTAAACTTCTATCCAATGAGATACTATCAAAATTTAATATTCAGATTGAAACACTTAGGTATAGCTAATATCATAATATTCTATCATATGTGTAGTTTATAAAAACATCATGGCCTATTTTGTAATTGTAATTTAATCAAAGCTAGGAGAGGTAAACATAATAAACCAAAAAGACAATAGTTAAGTGCAGCAATCACGGTTTGCAATTTAAAGAGATAATAAATGAAGAGCAATACTTCATTCATCTCAATGAAACTGACTTGAATGAATGAATTTACACCATTTTGGCAAGTCAATCCCAAAATGGCAATGCCCTCTTAGATGGGTAACTGAGTAGTACATTGTACAAGCTTATCAGTTAGCATTACGTTTCAAATCTGGAGGTTTACATTCGTGAACCAAAACACCAAATAACCAGAAATATATGGGGAAAGATGGAAAGTCAATCAAGATATAACTTACAAGAAAACACACAACTATACCCCCCCCATACCCCCCCCCCCCAATAGACATTTATTTCCATCTAACACATTTTGTAATAAAAATCAAAACTTTCCCCGCTTGATTGGTGGAAAATATCAATTGAACGATCAAGTTCACTATATTTCTACCAATCAAGTGAAGGGTTTTGACATTCTTGTTACGATATGGGGTTTTCTTAAAAGTTCAAACAGTTTAGTAATTCAATATACATATTTGATTTTACTGGTGTGGGAAAGAGATCAAAAGAGTATTTCTCATTTTCCTTTTACCTAAGCAAAGTATTTTACTCAAAGTGCATACAAAAAGAAAGAAATACACAATCTTTCAAACCCTATAGAGAGTAATTACCACCCACCATTTTAAACGGCTCATAAAGGTAAGCAGCTGGCACCTTATAGGTCAGGGCATAACCGGTAGATAGCACAAACTCTTATAAGGCAAAATGAAAAAGGAGAGATTACCTATTGGATTTTGCTTTATAAAAGCACATCATTTCCATTTGCTTTTTAAATTTATCTAAAGAAGGACAAAAGAGGAAAGCTTCTTGTAGTGAATAAAGACTCATAATGGGTCCCCACAGCAATGTAATGTTGGTCATGTATTCCATATTCAATAATATTACTAATAATATAAAAGCTCAACCCACAAGATGCTGTTCCCTTGACAACCTAAGCATGTGGCACAAATTGGGGGATTAAATAAGTGAAAATGTGCAAATATAATCTTGATGTTTATCCATAGAGGGTAGACAAAATTTTAGGTGCAAATAAGAATCTGATCTTGTAACTTGTAAGGTACATATTGACCCATGTTGACCTCAAATGCTACAAATAAGTAATTTAAAAATCCCAAATAATTATTTTCGTATATTGTGTAAAGAATAACAAAAGAATGTATTCTTAAAAAATGTAACCCATATACTACATGCTTTATAATTACAATGCATGTATCTTAAATATTTAATGTTCTAATTCTAAAGAGTATAAATATTACTACGTAATATCCTAGTTAAGATTTTAAAAATCTATTTGACATTAAACCAAAATATTTCACATAAATAAATACTAGTACTAGTAATAAAGAGCAATCAAAGCTACCTTGATAAGAAACAGGGAGTCATATTTTCACATAAAAAATATGAAGGACCAATCCGCAGTCCACACATAAAGGTAATACATAAAGGGTAAAAGTGTCAGTTTCTTAACTTTCTGCCAAAAATAAGAACACATTTTGCTCTAATTTGATTGCTCTATGTGTACCTAGAGAAACGTCAGAGTTGACTACATCTTAGAGAAATCAAATCTTTAGGGACGAAACTGCAATAATTGAGGGAGAATAATTCCAGTTTCCAGAAACAGTCGTAATTTATAAGTAAGGACTTGGGCAATGCAGGAAAAGTTCAATGACTGAAAAAGAAAAGAAAATTCCTGCTTTTAATAAAATGAAGAATTTACAGCAATAATACAGACAGCCATGACAAATAGAAATAAGTAGAAAAAAGGAAGAAAGAGATAAAATCCCCATCCCTGTAAACAACTCATGCTCGAACTGGACAAGAACCAGATGTCCAGAATCAAATTCCCACAATGAAAATATGAAATTAAGGATTTAGCATTGAATTTAAAAACTTGATTACTTGATAACAAAGTTAGGATATCCCAGAACTTCATTTCCATAAAGATAATTACAATTAAAAAAAATTAAAATTTGGAATCAAGAAGATCAAAATTTGCAAGAAATAGAACATTTGAGGCATAAAAAAGAGAGATTGAGTGATTGGGAGCATACCATGAAGAAGAGCAGATAAGCTACCAGCAGGCATGTAATCAGTGACTAACAATTTCTCATCTTTGGAGAAGTAAAAAGCTCTGAAAGGAAGCACATTCTCATCCTTCATCTTCCCCAGCAATTCCATTTGCTGTTCAAACTCCTTCTTACCCACCACCACATCTTTCAGCCTCTTCACCACCACCGTCGTCCCCTCCTCCAACACCGCCTTGTAGCTCGTCCCCACGCTCCCCTTCCCCAACACCTCCGCCGAGGCCCGCAGTAAATCCTCCAGATCGAATCTATAGCCTCCCCCGTTCAAGAAAACCAGCTTGTTCCTCTCCCCTTCGGCGGATCCGCCGGTTACCTCGTCCTTTGACGATGATGTTCCTGCTTCTCCGGCCACTGCCGCTACAGCGACAGCCTTCTGCGTCGTCGGCTCTCTTTTCTTCTTCCGTAGGCAGAGGAAGAGGATGAGTAATAGGAGGATGAGGGCGACGACCGAGCCAACAGCGATTCCGGCAATGGCGGCTGCAGATAGCTTCTTGGACTTTTTAAAGTGCGGCGTGATCTGGGCTGACGGAGAAGGCGCCGGCGAAGGGAAAAACGGGTTGCACGGTGCCAATGGGGCGCCGCAGAGATCGATGTTTCTGGCGAAAGCAGGCGCCGGAAACTTAGAAAGTCTCGCCGGAATTGACCCGTTGAGGCGATTGTCGGAGACATTGAAATCGGTTAGGCCCGGAAGGTTAATGCTAGGTAGAGTCCCGTTGAACCCATTCTTCTGCAAGTAAAGCCTACTCAGAGAGGTTAAATTGTTGACGGAAAACGGGATTGGGCCGGAGAATTTGTTAGAGGAGAGGTCCAGCCGATTCAGCCGCGTCAACTCGGTCAGACTCGGAGGAAACCCGCCGGAGAACTGGTTGTTCTGGAGATAGAGACTGCGGAGGAACTTGAGGTTCGCAAAATCCTGCGGGATTGAGCCCGTGAGCTGATTCGACCGGAGACTCAGCACCCGGAGCTGACTCAGCCGGCCAATCGTGTTCGCCGGAATGTCTCCGACCAGCCCAACGCCGGGCAGCCGCAGATAATACACAAACGACTGGTTCGCGTCGCAGACAACGCCTACCCAAGTGCAGGCCGAGGTGGACGGGTTCCACTGGACCCTAGACTCGTGTCGGGTTCTGGACAGGAAATCAATGAGAGCTTGCTTGTCCTGCGTGGGCTCCGAGTTGACTCGGCAGCGACTCGGCTGGAACACTGCCAAAACGAAACATACGAAAACAGAAAAAACAAATCCAGAGTTTAACACCATCCCAGAAGTCTCTCCCCAGAACCCAGAAAAATTATAATGTGAAGTAAATTACGACTTCTATTATCCTTGTTTATATATTTGATGAAACACCAAGACCGAGTCCTGGACGAGTTGCCATTAGAGAGAGAGAGGCAGGAAGTGTAGAAAGAGAAAGCGAAACGTTTGTATTTATTTATACGACGAGGGAGAGGGCAGGGGTGACGAACTGTGTGTATGCTCTTTATTGTGTGTGGTTGGGCTGGGCGTAAAGAACGTCGTATTGGGTGTTTTTGTTCCTGTTGTTTTTTAAACAAATTTATTTAGGTATACTAGAGTAGGCCTTTCGAGACCAATGATTTTGAAGGTAAAGTGACTAAAGTCATGGGAGCCCGTTTAATAAAGTTAAAATTTTGACTTAGCATGTTTGAAGTTTGTACTCGTTTCAATCTCACATCTAATGTATCAAATCAAACACTCAAATTTAATTAGATGAGAAGTGACTAAACTTAAACATATGGGAATAGATTAAAGGAAAAATTGATTGTAATAATCTCAACTATTGGCGGTCCGCTTATAATAATCCCAACTATCGATTATTTTATAATAATCCCAATTTTAGGGTCCTTCCGCCAATAACAGTCCCTGTAAATAAATTCATGTACTTTCTGAAGTGGATGAAAAGAGATATAGCAAGTAATCTCTAAAAATAATCTCAACTTTTAATTTTTACGCTAAATTTCTATTTAAAATTCACTTTTATAGAAGGTAATATTTGGTCATGGACCATTATAGGCGGATGGTCCATATAGTTGGGATTATACAAAAATAATCAATAGTTGGGATTATTGTTAGCGGACCGGCAATAGTTAGGATTATTATTTTCAATTTTTCCTAGATTAAATTAGATCTGATCAAACTTAGGAAGTTGCAAAATACATATTTACCACACTACATCACTTCTGATTAGACTAGATCAGTTCTGATTAGACCGAACAGACTTAGATCGGATCGGATCATATCATAAAATCACATTTCAATTACAATATCCTTAATGCATTGAAATTATAAACTTACTATTAAAATGATTGAAGTAGTTGGATTTGTTTAGTTGCGGAATTATTATATTAAAAATACATTTTATCAATATATTGAGTAAACTTTATGCACAAATAATTAAAATTACTTTATTTGGCTAATTCAAACAGAGCAATAATTGCAGTCTTACTTATGAGGCATAAGATGAAAAATGGCTTGTCTAACAGAATAGTGTTACCACCGCCTCACTAAATTTGGGACATGGGGAGGTGATACGCTTATTAAGAAAAACGAATTTATGTAGTTGATATTGAATAATTGATGAAGTAAGGATAAAGTAATAGTGATTTAGAAACACACAATTTTTATCAAATTTGGTATGAGACAATCTCAGCGGGACGAATTGAAAAATGAAAGATGGAACAATATCAACGAGACACATAGAGAAGTCTATAACTCTATAATATACAAACTCCAACTTAATCATAGAAAATCCAAGATCATTGGTTACTCCTACATGCCAATACCCTTTGTTGGTGCAATGGACTTATACAATGACAGTCTCATACATAATAGAGCATGTGTAAGTGGTAAATTGAATAGTATATATGCAACGGATCTATTTTCTTCATTTGTGACAAGTTTAGATACATATGATTTTCTTTTGGAGTGCCATGATGCTAAATTCTTTTTTAGGGAGGTCACATAATCCGTGGCGGAGTGGCTATTATAAGGACACCATGTCCAATTTACATCAAAGAAGACAATTATTGTTTACTAAGGAGCATTACGACATGAATTTGATGAGGATGTGATATGATGTGCTCATGTGCCCCTAAAAGTACACTTAATGGGAAAAGTATGTGGAGTACATAGGTCATACATAAATTGAGAAGCTAAATGGACATAATCTCAGATCATGGCAAAATCAATTATTATAACACACCACCTGTTTTACTTCAATACTCGGTATGATCAGAATATAATTCATCGCTGAGAGTGGTAATGGTTTGAGAGAGTAATATTTTGTGTACTTAACATTTTGTATAAAGTACAAATAAACAATGTAGAATGTAAATACTTTGACCCCTAAAAACAATGAAGATAAATGTGTGGTCCTACATAGAAAAAAACAAGAATCACAATTAATTTTTCTTTCATGGAACATGTGTTTTTGGTGATAACAATGTCATCTACATACAAAGAATTATCGGACTGGCCACATATAAATTCACAACATAACACATATGGGTATTTTTTGACCGTATAAATCCTCATGAAGTTGACATACATGATTGGCGAATGTGATTAACAAAAATGGAGGCTGACGCATATAGATCCCTCGTGGATGATGATCGTTGCTTGGATTTTCGAATCGGCTCCTCCGTGGTAATGTCTTCATGTCACGACCGGTCCCTCGGCACGACGTGGTTATCACTCTGAAGCCCGGTCTCATCCCCACACCTCGCAAATGAGAACCGTTGCATATGTTCTCGGACCGGCTCCACAACGTCGTTGTCCTCACATCATTATCACATCCTCAGCCACGGTGTGATTGTCTATCTCGAGATCGGCTCCCAACACCGAATGTCTTGAGCTAGCGATCACGCTCATCATTCCCTTCTCGGATGGTGACTGCCGCCTTCACATGGCGATCGACTCTGCATCGCCTCGTCATCATATTTCAAATTGACCCCTCAGCACCAAAGTCTCCATTTTCGAACTGGTATCCCCGCACCATCAGCAAGGAAACCGTTTGGCGTTATCCACCTCAAAAAAAGGAAAAAAAAAAGAGAGGAGATGTGACTCCTTAGTCTTCCCAGTTCGATCAGTTTAGCTGGTCTGGAACGACGAATGGACTCCGTCTTTGGTGGAACTATCAGGAGCTACTAACCGCCTCCTGAGGGCCGAGTGTAAGCGAATGATAAGTAAGTCTAGACGGTGATGAATTAATCTCCCCAGTTTGATCGGCTGAGCTGGTTTGGAACGAGGAATGGTCTTCGTCATCGATAGAATCGTCATGAGCCATTAATCGCTTCATGAGGCCCGTGTGTAAGCGAATGATAAAGAAGTCTGGAGGGCGATGAACTAGTCTTCCCAAATCGATCGGTTTAACTAGACTTAATATTTATAAATATTAAAAATTATGGGAGTTTATTTATAAATATTAAAAATTATGGGGGGGTGTATTTACCAATACTAAAAACTACAATTTTTTTTGTTGAATATATACATATATTATCCTTTGACCTTTGTCCATTCATAACATTGAAGCATTTCACATTATCATGATAGTTAGGATTAAATTCATATTTTATCTCATACATACTAGTGTATGTCAAAATATAAATATAGTCGACAAATCACTAATTTAAAATGAAAAACGTCAAACAACTACAATTTTGAAATTAAAAGTGCAATTACTCAAAGTTCTTGGATAATCTAACACATATTTTCACTGAATACACTAATTTTCAGATTCATTTATGGAAAGGTTGACGAATTCAAGTACTCACGTAACCTCCATGCTCCCAAATTTATCTCAACAAACATCTCACATTTTACTTTGGGTCCATATACTTAGTTGTGTGTGAGATTAGAACAATCTAAAATTTATTTTTATTTTTTCATATATAAGAAATATATTATTTAAATTTTGGGTGTTTTTTTATAAAAAAAAAATTGATACTATCAGAAATAAATACCGAAATCTGTCTGAATCCGAAATTTTTAAAAAAATACCAAAAAAACTTTAAAACTTTTAATAAATTGTAGATACTATCCCAAAATGTACTATACGGCCATATGTGTACTCGGAGTATCTAGTGAAAATCCTTCCTTCATACTCCCTCTGTCCCTAAAAGGTTTGCCAAATTTTGTTTTTTTTTGGATGTCCCAAAAAGATTTGTCATTTCCTCTATTCGATATGACTTTTTCGGATACAATTATGTCATGTAGGATGGCATGTAGGAGGAAATTTTTCGAAAAGGTTTTTATTTTTTCATACATAAGATGGCATGCAGGAGGAAATTTCTGTCACTTTTTCGGATGTCCTGGTGTCTAACGTTTTTCTGAAAATGCCAAAAAAATGGCATAATTACTCTTCTATATGCCAACATTTTCATTGAATATGCCATCATTATGACATTATTTAAATTGTTGGCAGATTTTTCTCTGGTGATGGAAGCTGGTGGTGCTGGGGGTGGCAGGGGAACAATGTTTTTCTTTTAATTTTACGTTTTTTATTTTTTAAAAATATTTTTTTTAAATATTTTTTTATTTTATAAATATTTTATTAATTTTGTATTTTTGTGCGTTTTTTATAATTTTTTTTACAATTTTTATTATTTTTTATGATTTTATTATTAATTAAAACATTTCAAAAGTTACAAGAGTATATTTGTCTAAACAGACATAAATAGTCCTATAAAGGGAATTTAATTATTTGGGAAAATTTGACACTTTTCCACAAAAATCTTATTTGTGGAAATTGAATTAGTTCATGCCATTATTTGAAATAATTAACGGGGAGAAAATCACAAAACCGTTCAGTGAGTCCAAACATCAAACACTTCACGGGCGCTAAAAAATCCTGAAATGGAGACTTCTTCTTCATCGTCGGGTTCTATTGAGACTGCCCTTCGAACACTAGCAAACAAAGGCTGGTGTTTCCGCGACATTGATCAAGTGAAGTTACTCCTGTCAGCTCAGTCTAGCTTGGCCACCATCGATTCAGTTGAATCAGAGCTTATCAAATTGGACTTGCGATCCATCGGCGGTAAAACGTTACCCGACCCTTCCTCTATTCGAAAAATTTCTCATCTTCAGAGCCCTATAGTTCTTCAAGTACTTCTTCTTCTCTTTGTCTCTGTATTGTTCTTTATATGCAAGTTATTAAGGTCTATTGTTTCTTGAATTTTATCTTGATAGTGTATGTAGTTGTATTCTTCGATTGCATTGAGTTGTCCTTCGGATACATCTGAGTATCTGACCTAATAGGAGTAATGCGTTTTGGCATTAGGCTTTAGACATGACACTACTTTCCAAATTTGGCAATAATTACTTCAATTTAGGTAATAAAAACATTTACTCTTATTTATGAATTCCGAAACCTTTTTACTCCTATTTCAAGAAATTTCTCAATAAAAATCACAAAGAAAAACATAAAAGTGAATATTCAAATATTATTTCTTATTAAATTAACACTACTGAATGCATTAAAAATAATTAATTAGATAGAACTTGTCTCAATGTTTTACCTGCAAAAGTGATCCTCCGGTGACCAGTCAGTATGATCCAGCTTTTGATTTCGGGAAAAGGGGCAAATTCCCCCTAAGGTTGCCACTAAAGGGCATCTAAACCCTTAAACTAAATTTTGGAGCAAAAAACTCCCTTTTTCTATTAAAATGGGGCATCTGCCCCCTCCACTAACGGAAGACATACGGATGTGTTAACAGTGAGTTGACAACATGTGATAAATGCAAATACACTAAGGAGGTGTTTACTTCACTGCTAAAGTCACAGTTAGGTTAGTAAGACAGGTGAAGTAAACACGCACACTGCTTAAAAAGCCGCTTACTAACCGAAAGAGCTGCTTAAAGTGCCGCTTATTAAACATACCACCCCCCATGTATTAATTAAGCGGCACTTTAAGCTTTTTCAGTTTCCGAATTTACCCCTTGCCCTACCTATTGTTATCCCTGCCCCACCTCGACCCCAAGCCCACCCTACCCCGACCCCACCCTACCCTTACCCCACCTACCCTGACCCTACCCCGACCCCACCCCACCTACCCTACCCCACCTACCCTACCCCACCCCAACCCCACCCCTACCCTACCTAACCGACCCCCACCATACCCTTACCTACCCCGACCCTACCCCTACCTACCCGACCCCCCCTACCACTACCCCAACCCCACCCTACCCCGACCCCAGCCTACCCTTACCCCACCTACCCTGACCCTACCCCCGACCCCCACCCCACCCCTACCCCACCCCGACCCCACCCCTACCCCACCTAACCGACCCCCACCATACCCTTACCTACCCCGACTCTACCCCTACCTACCCGACCCCACCCTACCCCTACCTTACCTGTCCGACCCCCACCCTACACGTACCCCCCCACTCTACCCCATTACCAGACACCCCCCTACCCTACCTAACTGACCCCCACCCTACCCTTACCCCACCTACACTACCCTTACCCCGACCCCACCCATACTCTTACCCCACCTACCCTACCCCCTACCCGACCCCACCCCTACCCCTACCCTGACCCAACCCTACCCCGTCCTACCCCTACCCGAACCCACCCTACCACTACCCTACCTACCCAATCTCACCCCTACCCTACTTACCCGACCACACACCTACCCTTACCCTACCTACCCCACCCCTTACCCACATACCCGACCCCACCCTACCCTATCCGACCCTACCCCTACCCTACCCCGCCTCAACCCCCACCCTACCTACCCGAACCCACCCTACCATTACCCGGGTTGGGTAGGGTAGGGGTAGGGTCGGGGTTGGGGTAAGGTGGGGTCGGGGTGGGGTCGATGTGGTAAGGGCCTATGGGGGTAGGGGCCTATGGGGTCGAGGTAGGGTTGTGGTAGGGTGGGGACAGTTAGGGTGGGGTCGGGTAGGTAGGGTGGGGTCAGTAGGTAGGGTAGGGGTAGGGGTAGGGGTAGGCGGTGGGTGGGGTCGGGGTAAGGTAGGGTGGGTGAGGGGTTAGGGGTATGGGTACACATATTATATTATATACTTGTGTTCATGAATGTTTGTGTGTATATATATGTATAGGGTTATTTTGGACATTTTAATGTTAAGCGGTGTTTTAAACCGTTTGAAGTAAACACGGTCTTACAACATTGTTTATTTTATGCGCCGCTTATTAACACGGGTCTTAATAAGCACCGTTTAATAACCGGTGAAGTAAACATGTCCTAAGTCTATTTTTGTTTTTTTTGTGAGCAATTGTCTTAGACAAAAATGTTTGCAAATTAACTAACAAAATGTTGAATTATAGAGTTAACATATTTTTAATTGATCTATAAAAATGTCTTTAATTGGATTGAAAATTTTGATCTGGTGTAATTTCATCGAAATCAATTTTTTATCTGATCTGTCGGATCTGTTTTAAAAGTTTTTACTTAGACTTATTTTAGTCTTAGACAAGATCAGATCTGAACAAATCTGACTAGACATTAATAGACTAGACCTCGAAAAATTATAGCATACCCAAAAACCAGAAATCTACTGAACAAGACCAAACCAGACCAATTCAGACCACACCAAGTCAGATTAGGCCAGATCATGAAATTTCAATCGGAAAAAAATCCTTCATCTCGTCTGCTATGAAATGTGATTAATATTATTTATATATTATAATCTGTATATAATTTATTTGTATTCATTTATTATTAAAAATAATAAAATTCCTCTCAAATTATTGTAAAGTATATATTCTCGACTTATCAAACATTTTTAACTCCCTTTTCCATTAAAAGAGGGCATCTCCTCCCTCCACTAACGGTGGACATACAGATGTAAACAAATGGTGAATGCAAATACACCCCAAGATTTCCCCTAGCTCCCCTAGCTGAAAATCACATCCAAGTCTTTTTTTTGTGAACAAGTGTTTTAAAAAAACATGTGACAAATTAACTAAAAAAATTCTAATTATGGAGTTAAGATGTTTTTAATTTGATTGAATTTTTTTGATGTGATGTAAATTTGTCTGATCTGGTCCAATCTGTTTTAAAAGTTTTTACTTAAACTTATTTCAGTCTTAGACAAGATCAGACTTGAACAAACTTGACTAGAAATAAATAGACGAGACCTCAAAATATTATAAAATACTCAGAAATATTATTTCTATAATTTTTCGATGTCTAGTCTATTTATGTCTAGTCATATTTGTTCAGATCTGATCTTGTCTAAGACTGAAATAAGTCTAAGTAAAAACTTTTAAAACAGATCCGACAGATCAGATAAAAAAATTGATTTCGATGAAATTACATCAGATCAAAATTTTCAATCCAATTAAAGACATTTTTATAGATCAATTAAAAATATGTTAACTCTATAATTCAACATTTTGTTAGTTAATTTGGCACATTTTTATCTAAGATATTTGCTCACAAAAAAACAAAAATAGACTTAGGTGTATTTGCATGTATCACGTGTTTTCAACTCCCTGTTAACACATCCGTATGTCTTCCGTTAGTGGAGGGGGCATGTGCTCCATTTAAATAGAAAAGGGGAGTTTTTTGCTCCAAAATTTAGTTTAAGGGCTTAGATGCCCTTTAGTGGTAACCTTAGGGGGGGATTTGCCCCTTTTCCCTTTGATTTCCTATTTGACTACATTGGTAAACTCTAGCTCTTCTTTTTTAGCATACAATATATTTGCATCAAGAAGATTGTTCACACTCAAGTTCTAACTATTGTCCATTGTCATTTCATTCATCATTTCTCCTCCCAATTTTTCTGCAATTTTACTCTCACCCACCTTTTCTTTCCTTTTCTGTAATAAATTACTAAACATATAAATATTCTAGTTTGATCTTATATCTAATCTCCTTATTTCTGTCTTTTAAAACCAAACATATTTTTTAGGATTGATTCTAAAAAAACAGAAACATTATTTAAAATTGCATTTTAATAGAATTATAGTTAATGTCAATCTTCAGTGGTCAATTTTATGCCTGATCGCTTAACAACTGAGGTCTTTCACCTTCTTAGTCAACTAATGGAAAATTATAGAGCCTCGAACATGGATCTGCATTTAGTGTTCATTGATTTAGAAAAATGTATGACATGTACCTATAAAAGCCCTTTGGCGGTACTTAATTAGAAAAGACATATCACGTCTATATATCAACATCATAATGAATATGTATGAGGATTGTACTACAAGTGTCCGTACTAGTGTAGGGAGGAATGCAAAGTTCTCTGTTAGGCTATTACTATCGGAGTGCACCATGTATGATGTCAAATACTTTCTTATTTGTTATGGTTATGAATGAACTCACGAAGTCAATTCAAGAAAATATACAATGGTGCATCATGTTCACTGACGATATTGTGTTGATTTAAGAGACAAGATCAATTGTTAAAACAAAGTTGGAAGTATGAGTCAAAGCAAGAGTAAATATATGGAGTGCAAGTTTAGTGGGGGTAGAAGTAATGATAACAGTGACATTACCTTAGATGGTAAGAAGATAATGATCATTGATATGTTATGTTACTTCTTGGATTGAATGAGAGTATGACTTTGGAAAGATCGGAGTATAGAGAGTATACATGTGGATGATTGATCTCATTTTTTTTATCTTTCTTATCTTCTTTATCTTTTTATCTTATTTTTTTTATCTCATTCTAAAAATCTTTATCTAATTTTTTATCTTTATCTTATGGGAGAATTTGACTTCCCCATTTTTGGGTGACATATGACTTTGCACCCTATTTTAAAAATCATTAATATATGCACCACAATCCACTATAAAATCATTTGAATTTGCACCTCACTCCTTCAAAAAATTTGGGCTGATGAGGTGCACACATTAATAATTTTGAAAATGGTGTGCAAAGTTCAATATCGCCCAAAATATGGGGTGCAAATTCAAATCTTCCCTTATCTTATCTTATCTTTTTATCCTTTTTATCATATCCTATCTTTTTTATCATTTTAGCTCCGATTTCAAACGTCTTTTCATGTTAGCTGACTCCAAACTCTTTTGAGCTTAAGGCTTGAATGTTTTTATTATTGTTGTTATCAATCTTGGGTGGTCTGGTTGGTTTAAGGGCGTGATGAGTGGGGTCTCTGGTTTGAGACTGTCTTTCAAACCACAATCGGATATTCGGATATAAATGGGGAGGGATACCCTGCTATGTAGTCCAGAAAAGGGATGGCTAACCTCTTGTTGTATTAGCCCATGGCCTCATTGAGTCATTATATCTTGAGATATCTGTTCTGCAAATGGTCAAGAAATATAGAGTTTTAGACGTTAACTCAACCAGTGAAAGTGTAAACTAATTAACAGTTTTTTAAACTATTGAATTACATTTAGTCTAGTTTGACCAAAATTACGTTGTACAATTTTAAGCTAATTTCAGTTAAGGTAATTACCTGGAATGTAGTGCTTACCATAAATTAACCAGTTACCAGGAATTTGCTTAGGAAATTAATATAACTTTCAGAGCTCACAACTCAAAAGACATCTAGACTTCATGACACAAAAAAACAGTGTAGCTCGCATGAATTTTATGTAAATAATCAAATTTCCAAGAACAAAAAGTTAAAGACCAATAGCTTATCCAGCTAGCTTCTGTTATACTATAAATAAATGAAATCAAACACAGCATGATTAGTAAAAATTTATACAATAATATCACAAGGCAAGGGTGTAATACTATAAAAAAAATTGAAAAAGGAAAAACAATAATGATAGCTGCATAAGTATTATTTGCAGAAGTGTCAGGGGAAACCACCAGTCATATTAGTCTTATTGAAATAATTAGAAAGCTGGTTGTATTAAATTTGGTGTAAGTTTTCCCTGTTTGACATTTAGCTGTTTGTATTAGCTCTTAGCTGCTAGCTGTTTACAATAGCTATTTGAACTTGGATGTTTCTGAAAGCTGTTTCGACTAGCTATTTCTGCTAGCTCTTTTGACCAAATTTTACTTTATCTGCTTGGTAATAATAATCAATTGTAACTCGTATGAAGGTATAAAGTGTACAACAAAAGCTTTTCACAAAAGTACTCTATAAAAGCTTATTTAGTAATTTTTTAAATCATTTGTTTCTGTCTCCTTAGCTTTTGTGACCGACCCATGACTAAAAACTAAAATCAGCTCTTTCACATGGTCCAAGAGCTAATTGAGTAATTTATATTGTAAACGTCATTAACAATCTTCTAAAAAGCTTTTTACCGAACTTGACCTGATGACCTTTCACTACATTAGTATTATATGAAAAATAAATGTCCACAAAAACTAGGCTTTAATGATTGTAACTCTTCATCAGTTTATCTCCTATTTTGGGATTTTTAACAACTGGCTTTCTTAATTTTTTAGTAGTTACTATATCCTCTGCAACACATTTGTTCTGATTTCTTCTGGGGAAATTGACTTCTGAAACATATTTAAGTATTTCTTCATTTCTGTACTAGACATGCTGATGACACATTTTCAGTGTAGCGCGGTTCTTTTCCCTAATGTATGCCAATTTTTTTAGATATCTTCTGTCAGAGATGTATCTAGCAGCAAAGTGACTGAGAATTCAGGAAATGCAAAAAGTCGGCGTCTTTTAAGATTGAAGCTCACCGATGGACACTATGAAGTAACAGCGATAGAGTACTCTTACATACCATCAATTCCTGATGATGTCATACCTGGCACTAAGGTATTCTTAATTTTAAATAAAATATAACCTATGATAGTATACTTTGTCATTGTAGTTTTATCTTGACCCGATTCTATAAATCATCATAATTCACCTGTCTTTTTTATAACTCACCAATTTGTGTGCACCTAGCTTCCATAACTTCTTTATCATATGTGTTCATGGCAGGTCCGTTTGGAAAACAAAACAATAGTGCTAAGTGGTATTGTTTGTTTAAATGCCAAAGCAGTTACTGTTTTAGGTGGATTTGTTGAGCCACTTTATGAGGAATGGCAAATGAACCGAAAATATGCAGGTCTCCCGCGCTCATCTTTGAGACAGTTTCACGAAGGGGCCTCTTCTGGTCCACCGCCATTTGAAAAGTTGCAAGTTGGAGCCAATCACAAGAACAAGAACCATGCTCAGCAGAAGAGAGACTCTGGTAAAAATTATGGTACTTATCTGTTAAGCCAGACATACTTGTTATTATATAAATTTGACCTCCTATACCTATTTTGTGGAGTGCACATGCACATGTAAATGTGCATTATGTATCAAACAAATCTATGTCTACACATATATGATATATATAATATAAATGAATGTGTGTAGGGGTATATCACTTCCAGAGTATATGCATGTCTCACCTGGTTTCTGCAGTTAGATGGATCATAACGTGATCACATTTTCCTATATCCTTTTCTGACATATTTTGATCTGATTTTTTGTTTCACTAGTTTGATCCTTGTCTAATGATGCACTCCATATATTTTAAATGCACTGTTTGGTGTTTTACCTTTAATTGTGTCCTTCATGTAGTGTATTATTTGTTTGTTTTGTCTTTCCTAGTTATGCTTTGCTTAAAGCATTTAAAGAATCTTTATGAACCAAGTGTTGAAGTATTTGTTATACAGAGTCTTCCATGTCTTCATCATCTAGAAGTTCAGTATCCCTGCCTACTGGAAAAGCTGATAGCTCTACAGACTTACAGAATCGTAATGATTCAAGAGGTGACAATTTGGGTGATGATCTGAAGCAATCTAATTGTGAACCAAATGAAGAAAAGCCAATCATCTCTGAAGCAAGACCAAAAGAAGGTCTGTTCTTTATATTTATTACTCGTGGTGCCTTTTAAGCGTTATTTTCTCTTCTTTTTTAAAGTGAGTTTAAGATTTGACTCCTTAAACTTGAGGGTGGTGAATAGGTTCTTTATGAAGGGTGGAAGAAATTTCAATGGCTTCTCTTTACTTAGATTAGGATTTGACACCAAAAAAGTATTTCTAAAATTTTTAGAAAAAATGGTTTAGGCATTTGATGTCTACTGAAGGGAGTGTTGCTCAATCTTTTACAGTGGTTGAATCTTTCCCCGTTCAAAATCAAGCAGCTTCACAAAAACTTCTCCAGAAAATGAACCAGCCTTTCAGGGATAATCATCGCATTAGGGGTCAAAGACATAGGGGGAAAGAAAAAGAGGAAGATTCACATCTCCTTACTCTTGATGAATGGGAAAGAAGTAGAAGTGGCAACATTTCTGGAAATCAAAAGCTTTCTAGTATTAGCCAGGATGAGGATCTTGCGAGGCAGCTTCAAGAGCAGTTTGATTTGGAAGATGTTCATGTAAGTTTCCTTCTTTTTTTGTGTGCAACAGTTTTTATCTGCCTTTATATTCTATTTATCCATACTACCTTTTTAAGGACTTCACCTTGGATTATCTATCCCTTATATATGATACATCTCTCACCCATATGGCAACTGTGTCACTTTAAAATCAAATCAAAGTTATTCTCAAAGATCACTACACCCCCTAATCCCTCTATGCTCAAATTTGTATCCGTGCATGCTAAATACACTATTACAAACATACTAGTTATTAAATACATTCTCTTGTCACTAAAGCTTTTTTGTGGCAATTTGGATATGATAATATGATATTTGCTATCACTATTTATTTAGGTACAAAAAGATTCTAGCATGACAGAGGCAGAAAATATAAGAATGAATATGTTCAGATTTGACCGAGATGATGCCAGAGCTCATGGCACAATGGGGTTTAGAGGAAGGGGAAGGGGAAGAGGAAGGAGGGCAGGCAGAGGGAGAACATGATATATTTTTGTATGCAGCTAAGCCTCCTCTTTGGTTTCCGAGGTTTGTGACTTTGTCTTTTATGACGGGGAATTCCTATAGGGTCAGTTTGGGAGTTGGGTTTTTGAAGGCTTTTGGAGGGTAGGCTTTGGATGTCTAAGTTATATCTTGATACTACGTGTATTTTTGAGTTTATTGAAAAAGAATGAAAGAATGACATAATGATAGATAAAACATTACTGCAACGTCAGTTTTTGTGTAGTGAAAGATTATGCTGATCAAGATATATACCAACCCATCCAATGTTGTGCCCTCCAAACCCTTGAGAACCTTCCATCCAAGTAGACCTTTAAAGCAATGCTGAGGTTTATACTAACTTGTACAGCAACATTTTTTTTATCACAAATATGTCACGGTGTTCGTGTCTATGAAACCCGGTAGCGTATCCGTGAGACCAAAGAAACAAAAAAAAAATGGATTGTGTACCACTTGATGTACACTTTTCACTTTGATTTACAAATAGCATTGCGCATTCCTCAATGTTAAGCAACGTGACATGTATAAACATTTCAAGCTCAATGCTGGCAAGAAATCTGCATTCATCATGCATTTGTGGCATTCCCTCGCAGTACTTTTTCCCCGTGCACGAGTCTTCCTTAACGCCAAAAATGGAGGACAAGCTCTGGTTATCTACCTTCATATCTCAAATGGTACATGCCAATTTTTGTGTTGATACAATTCCAAACGTAATTTGGCAAACCCTAACAATCCTCTATTACAACTATGGTTGCAACATGTTGCTGGGAAGAAGAGGATATAGAAAAATTATGGAGAACTTTTGATCTACAAGTGTAAATAAGGACCTAAAAATAGAGAATATTTTACACACACACATGTACGGATTTTCTCCAAATATCTAGCTAGTTTTGGCCAATATTTGTTGCAATATACGGATGATAATTGTGCTCCAACAACATCCCATGTAATATAACCAAATGTATAGTACGTAGTATGTTTGAGTGCAAATTTACATTACATATGTATTTGGTCACATCTCATTACGCAATACCTTAACTACGTCGTATGTTAGGTAATGTTGTACTTATCATTTGCCCATTAATCATGGTAGGTCCTCAATATATCCTTCCAAGGAGACAAAGCCAGAACTGCAAAGGCATGTGATGTTGATTGGTAATGCCCCATACTTTGTACTAATGTCCATCGTGTATGCAATTTGTTGATAGAACAACTAAACTCCCCGGGTTGCCACATATGCTTCGTCAGTTAGCATGGCTTAAGAACTTGATTGAGAAGTCATAATGTTTCTTTTCAAAATTCTATGGTGTTATCTAGTGTATATTTGAAAGCGGGGGTGTCTGGGCCTTATTTTGTACTCCGTATTAAGCTCTTACACGAAATATCATGTTATTTTTTTGACTAACCGGTTGTGATAGTAGTTTGCGAATGAGAATTCCTGAAATAGGACTAAAGCACTCACAATTCACAAAGGTTGCTTAAACATGATTCTTAGACCACTTGTAACCCAATAGTATGAATAGGTGAAAACACAAATCTAGAGATATTCACCTTATCAACTGTGCACCCCTTGTGTGTAAAGGGACATAAGTGGGTATATTTTCACTCTTTGGGGTTATCCTTAATTGCATGAATTTATGGACTTGTGAGTTACTTAGTTGTGGTCCTTGTGCAAAAAGAAGTACAAGGACACGAGAATAACATGCATGTGTTGCAATTTCAAGAAGTAAATAAAAAGTAAAAGAAATAATAAAAAAGAATAAATGGAGAATTTCTTTTGAATTGAGTGAGTGGTGACGAGCAAAATTTGCAAACGCACCAAATGTGAACGAATTCTCGCAATATGTAGATGAGATGGCATCATCACACCTACACAACTTTTATCTAAAGTTTATGGGTGATCAAAATTTGAGGAATGATGGAAAAAGTTTAAATAACGAACACCGCCTATAGGCTATAGAGCGAGGATTAGGGATGGACGGGGATCGGCCTACCCGGCCTGCTACCCGTTCCGATCCGCCACTAGGCAGGCCCGGCCTGGCCCGGGACCCGACCCAGAAGAAGAAAGAGGCGGGCATCGGGCTCCTATTCTGGTGGACTAGCCCGGCCCGGGCCTAATGGTCACCAATTATTTTTTTTCTCCCATTGGGCTGGATGCTAGGTGGGTGGGGTTGGCCGCGTACGGATGGACCGGTTCCGGGTTGGGTCGGGCCGGTCCAAACCAGGCTTTTTTCTTGGGGGGGGGGACCGACCCGGGATTCCACTAGGTTCGGGCCGGTTCAATTATTTTTGTTTTGATTTTCTAATTAACCCCCCGAAACACGAAACCCAACCCGGGAAAAACAAAAAAATTGAAAAAACAAAAAAAAAAACATAAAAGGCCCGAACTGGTTCCTATTTTCCATGACCCGAGCCCGCCCTTAGTAACAATCGGCTCGGGCCTAACCGGACTGGTCCAGGGCCCAGTTTCAGGGTCAGGTCGGTTCCAAACAGTGCCGGACCGGGCCACGGGCCGGTCGGCCCGGAACCGGTCCATCCCTATGGGTAACGGGGGGTTTGGGAGTGGGGGGGGGAATTAATTCGAAAATACAAAATTAAAGAATAATAATTAAGGCCTGGCCCGATTCCGAACCGGAACCAGTTCAAACCGGGCTTGGACCGCAACTGGTTCAAACCGGGTCGGTACCGGGCTTGAAGTTTTTGGACTTGGAGCCCGCCCAATCCTGGCCCGGAGCCTGGCCAGGGTCCACCCTTAGTGAGGATAATTACCCTTAGTGATGATAATTGAAAATGGAGTTGGCAGTTTGAGGAGCATGTGATATTATAATTGTTTTTTAGAGTCACTCTGGTATATGAAATTTTTTTTATCATCGGACATGCATTCATTCATAAAAAGCACTCAGCAAGGGGTTGAAATTACAAAAGGACCATAGTAACCATCCGCCTGTGGACGAGACTCTGAGTTAATCACCTTTGACAACGCAATATAACTCGTTAATCCTAAATTGGGCATATTCAAAACCACGACGATTACCGCAGGTCTCTCATCCCCCAATCCAAGTGCAAAAGTTTTACAGCATAAAATAAATAAGCAACAAAACACAATCGAAATAAAATAAAAACAAAACTCAATCGACTCAGCGGAAATAGAAATACCCGTCCAAACCCTAGTTGCAGAATTCCTCCAAGGCGGCGGTTTTGGAGGTGGGCGGATCAACATCCATTCGTCTTCTTTCACACATAGGCCACCAATGAACCCCTGAAATTTGATTTTCCAGTCCGACAACACGATGTCGACCACCAGAAACTCCATGCTATCACCAATAGCCATCTGTTTCGTCAAAGCTCGTTCCTAAACTGCGGAAGAATAATAGCTCAGCTTCTTCTTCAACATTCTGCAGCACCCCATCTTCCCCTTGCTAAACCCGTCCCCTGCCAAAATCAGAAGCCTCGAACCCTCCTGAAAGCTTCCTCGCTTGTTCGCTGCTCTTGTAAAGCAGAAAAACCAAAAGCTTCGTCCAGACAGAATCCAAATTCACCGCAATTGCAAGTCAGAAAGAAAACAAAAACGAACCAAACGAACCCCGCGATGACAACAAAACTCAATACCCTGAGAAGATATATGAGATAAGTTGCCTACCGGGGAGAGATCGGCCGAACCCACGGCCTGGATAGGCCGCCGCCGGAAAAAACCCTAGGATGTGCCTAGGAGACGACCGTATTTTTTGCTCAAAATGGTGGTATAAGTTTATTGAATGGTGGAAAACGCTCCAGTATATGATATTAATAATCTAATAGTGAGTTTCACCCAAGCTGGAAGCAATTAACCCCGTGCAGGTTTTTTGGTTCCTAGACAGGTCGATCCATGTTCTAATCGTTTCGCTTACCGGTATCGGACCCGGGTATAGTTTGGCATTGGGCTGGTGCTGGTTCACGAGATTGGTCCCTGTCTGGTTCCACTCGTTCCATTTTTTATTAAAAGAATACATTTACCAAGAAAAATAGAGTTGTATACACATGAAATATGTAGATCAAATATCACAAGCCTTCAATAAATCCATTAAATACATTGATTTTATCAAAAAGCTATGATACTACAAATATTAAATAAGAGTATATTTTTTAGCAATAATAGTAAAAATTAATACAGTAAATAGTATAACACGGAGTATGATTGTTTTTTTAATCATCAAAACAGCTTTTCATTAATATAGAGCAAACATGCAAGATAAAATCCAGACAACAATTACAAATCTGATCATAAGCCTCAGGATTAGATTTAGAGTCAGCTACTCATATAAAACAATCTGACTCGCTAGACACAAAACGACTAGAAGAAGGCTAAAATGACCGGAAGTGAAACACTGCCTATCAAAATTTCTTCAAAAAAAAATACTCCAACCAAACCTACTCGAACTGAAATAAAAATAAGTACTACGAAAGGAAAAAATAATACGAAAATAAAAACTTTCCTCAAATTGCTTCCTTGCACGGAGGTGGTTCGGGAGGAGACCGGGCTGCTATAGTATGGTAGAAGAAAATTTCAACTCCCGAAAAATTCGTTTGAAACCCTGTCCTTCTTGCGCTCGCCAAGTTGCTTATTGAGATTTGCTCTGTCATGTTACCTTGTGTTTCTTTGCCCACAAATATTCAAGCCGCACCCCACTGCACTTGCGTTCCACTCACGTTCCGAAACTCCCAAAACGAAAACCGCACGAAACTCTCGTTCTACGAGAATCCAAGCCGCACGAGGGAAGCTCGGCGGAACAAAAAACGTTAACTATGTAGGGAGACGGCCGCAGGCCGCTCCTTGATAATATCGATAGCGGAGAGAAAAACCCTAGCGACGGTGAACCACCCTAGAGAGAGAAGCTCTATACGTAATTACTAATAATGTTCAGCCATGTATTTTAACTGCGCAGTTATCTTCAAGAATTCATTTGAATGCATTCCCGATTGAAGTTTTAGCTGAAATTTGGTATGAGTAAACTAGACTTAATGAATAAGATACTAAAAAAATCATCAAAAAATTCCACCGAGAACCGCCCCAAATGGTGACGGCCGGACAAAGCCTTCTATATAAGAGTTTATTTGATCTTTTTATGTAAGTTCGAGGGCGTATCTGACTCTTTTACCTTTGAACTTAAAAAGACCGAAAAGACTGGACTAGATTAAAAAGGCATAAAGACTGAATCGGACTAAACTTCATCAAAATTCAAATGGTAATGTACGCAAGTTGCTTACGGAGTATGATTGTTAGTTAGACATGGAAATTAAAACATTTGAAACACTCCAGAACACCACTCGTTGCTGTTATGTATGGGTGTTGGTGGCTTCATAAAGATAAGTTTGCGTAGCCTACTGTAAATAACGATTTCTTCTCTTCCCAAACAAATCATACGCGAGCAATGGAGACATTGTGCTACACAAGTTCATTTGAATGATTTTTAGTCATGGAGTTATGAGTTCTAAGTTCTTAACTGCATGATTTTTAGTCATTGAGTAATTAATGAGTTTTAAGTTTTTAGTAATGGAATTGAATCAAACCTAAAGAATTAGGTTCTTGCATTTATCAGTTTCTAAATCAATTTTTTTCCGGATCCGGAGCCTCTCCAATACTTCAAAGCAAGGCACCGTGTCCGGCTCTCAGGAACCGCCCAATCAAAACGTGGACGGTCGGAGATTTCAACGCACAGATCCCAAAGCCCTCTCTTCTCCATCGGACGGACCCCTGCGTGCAAGGCACTCTGCCGTGCGGCAGAGGATCTTGTTCCTTTTTTTCCATTCACGAATTAACGAAGTGCAATTTCTGGCTTTTCGGCCACAAGGCCTAGAAAATGCAAAATACAATGCATACATGATACGGAGTACGTATTTAATACTCCCTCCGTCCCGAAAAATTGTTCCACTTTCCCCTTTTAGAAAGTTTTTTGTGACTACAATTCATTTATCTTTTTCTTACTCAACCACAATCTTACATTTACACTTTATTTCCACTTTCTTAAACTCCGTTCCAAGTCAATGCGAGAACAATTTTCCGGGACGGAGGGAGTATAAAGTTCTAATCACTCTGAATAGTTCCATTTATTACCTTCAAATCATCACCTTTTTTTTAATTTAAAGTTGTTTTTTGTACACAAAACTTACACATTATGTAGACGTTTATCAGTTACAGATAATTGGAGCACTCACATAAAGAGTTCTAATCACTCTGAATAGTTTTTTTAAGAGTTGTATTTGTCCATAAACATTAGCTTTGGTGTCAAAATATATTGATTGGCTCCTGACAGCCACCAGATAGACACATAAGCCATTTGATGGTACCACGGATTCAGACCATGACCCAATTACGTAGTACAGCCCGTAAACGGAATCAGCCCTTAACGGGATTAACCTGAATTACAGGAT